TATGTATACCTGAATCACTTTGCTGTACACCTGAAACTAACACAACACTGTAAATCAACTACACTTCAATTAAAAATGTTTCTTAGGGCTTCCCTGGTGGCGCAGTGGTTGAGAGTCCGCCTGCCGATGCAGGGGATGTGGGTTCGTGCCCCAGTTTGGGAGGATCCCACATGCCGCGGAGCGGCTGGGCCCGTGAGCCATGGCCGCTGAGCCTGCGCGTCCGGAGCCTGTGCTCCGCGGCGGGAGAGGCCACAACAGTGAGAGGCCCGCATACCGCAAAAAAAAAAAAAAAAAAAAAAAAAATGTTTCTTAAAAAATACACTTTCTGCTCAAACCCAGATATGTTTTCAGATTTACTTCCTTTCCCTCAACGTTCTCCATTCTGTGAGTTTTATTTCTCATATATCTTACAGAGAATACAAATAGAAGAAAGTAAGTGGTGATCATTTTGTTGGGTAGAGAAATGGCGAATCACTACGTTGTGCAGATCAGGAACTAACCCAGTGCTGTAGGTCAATCATTTCATGATGTATGTAAGTCAAATCATTATGCTGCACCCCTTATACAGTGCTGTATGTAAACTATATCTCAATAAAACTGGAAGGAAAAAAACAAATAGAAGAAAAAAAGGAAGATAATGCTATCAAAAGAAGGCTCAGAAATTAGAGAAAGTTTTCATTTGAACACTATTAGAATGGTTATATCATAATGAATATTCTTGTTCGCAAGATATTTCTATGCTTGTTTTGGAAGAATGCAGTTTAACAAATATATTTTAGATAGTTACATCTTGTTTCTACGAACATCTATTTTAAACATTCTTGAAATGTTTGTTTGAATGGTTTTACTCAAATAAAATTATATTTCCCTATTGAGGAGAGAAAAACACCCAGATCCCAACTATAGACTTTATTTAAATTTTACTAAGAAAATCAATGACATAAATTTATTGCTTCTGTTTTAGTACAGTTTCTATGAAAGAACTCTATATTTACGTTGAACTAATTTATAAACACTTTTATTTTTTAAACCTTATTTCTTTCTTTGTCCTCAAGTTGTATTTATTTTTCCATAAAAACAATTATTTGTGAATAGAACATTCACTGCTGTGGTGACGCTATGGTTTATTCCAATTCTCTTTGGAATGACACAGAAAAGTAGGTTTATTGCCTTGTTTTTCTTTCACTATTTTTTTTTTTTTTTTTTTTTGCGGTATGCGGGCCTCTCACTGTTGTGGCCTTTCCTGTTACAGAGCACAGGCTCCCGATGCACAGGTTCAGCGGCCATGGCTCATGGGCCCAGTCACTCGGCGGCATGTGGGATCTTCCTGGACCGGGGCATGAACCCGCGTCCCCTGCATCGGCAGGCGTACTCTCAACCACTGCGCCACCAGGGAAGCCCCTTCTTTCGCTATTTAAACTTTATCTTTCTTGATTTCCTAGGAGTGATTCAGTCAGGTGAATTAGAGGATCTGAAGTCAAATGAAAGAGGAATTCTGGGAAAAATAAGCCATGGAGACAGTAATTTGATAAATAAAAAAAAAGAAATACCACAATATTTATAATTTAATGTGCCCAAAATAATAATTATGTGTATTTAAAAGACTCTTTTATTAACCTAATTATAATTTTTGTATATTTAATTGTTCTTGATTTTCTTCAGTGTATCCTATAGAGTCAGAAAAATGCACAGCAAGTACTAGTGCAATGTGAGCCCCTCTGGAACAAATATAAGTGACTTGCATGAAAGTTCACTTGGATTAAAGTTGTTCCAACAAAATCCAAATGGAAATTAGAATATGCTTTCAGGATGTTTATGGATACATGACTTTTACCTGTATTGAGAATTTTAGCACACGAAGAATGATTCTGTTTACCATTCTATTTCCTTTTTTTTTTTTACTTAGAACTCTTTCCATCTCCCAAAAGTTGACTCAAATAATGAATATATACAATTGTATATTTGTATGGTATTGTATTATTGAATTATCAAAGTATATCCGAAGCTTTCTTATCAGAAAAACAAGAATACAATTGCCAGCTTTCTAAAGCTGTAATTCACAATACAGTACATGTATACGCAATATCCTTTTAGAGAAAGGAGGATCAATATGGTCCCAGGATGCATGATGAGGTCCCCCAAAGCATAACTGGGACTATGCTCTGTAGAAATACATAAAGCCTTCCTTTTATATATAGCGTGAAGATTAGGAGCGTCTATCTTTTTCTTATCAGTTGTCCACCAAAACTCCTATCAGCTCACTTATGTTAAATGGAGTGTTGTTAGCCTTCCCACTAATCCTATTCCCTGCAGATCTTCCGTGTGTATTCAATGGCTTGAATTCAGTAGCTTGAATTGTGTTGCCCTTATACATTTTCTTCCATAAGACTAATAAATACACATTTAATATCTAACAAAGCACTTGAAAGCGGTTTACTGCACACTTAAAAAGCAATGTGGAGTAAAACTTCTGAGTCTCAAGAAAAAGGGGCATGCAACCATGTTAACAGTCATTTCTTTTTTTAATTTTTATTTTATATTGGAGTATAGTTGAATTACAATGTGTGTTAGTTTCAGGTGTACAGCAAAGTGATTCAGTTATACATATACATGTATCTATTCTTTTTCAGATTCTTTTCCCATACAGGTTATTGCAGAATACTGAGTAGAGTTCCCTATGCTATATAGCAGGTCCTTTTTGGTTATCTATTCTATACATAGTAGAATGTATATGTTAATCCCAAACTCCAAACTTCAACTAACTTTGGGTTTTGTTTGTTCTTCTTTGTCTAGTTGCTTCAGTTGTAAGGTTAGGTTGTTTATTTGAGATGTTTCTTGCTTCCTGAGGTAGGACTGTATTGCTATAAACTTCCCTCTTAGAACTGCTTTTGCTGCGTCCCAAAGGTTTTGGATCGTCGTGTTTTCATTTTCATAACAATCATGCTTTAATAATAAACATAAAGGTTATAAAAATGAAAGTTCTCAAGGTGTAAGGTAGACAGGCTACACAGTGGCAGCAATGCAAGCTGAGAAATGGAGCGTGCGCGGCGGTTTGTATGTACCTTGAGGCAGCGACTGGACAGGAAGGGCCGCCTGGCCAGGTGGGATGGAGATGAGTCCCTGACGCTGAAGGCTGAGCAGATGCTGCTGCTGCTGGAGTTGCTGCATCTGGAGGAGCTGCTGCTGGAAGACAAGCTGCTGGGCCGCCAACTGCTGCTGCTGCTGCTGCTGGTGTCAGAAAACCCAACCCAGTGAGCGAATGGACGGCAGAGACTAGGGTCTGTGCAAACAGCCCTCCTACAGCGATACGTAAGCTTCTTTCATCGCCCCGGTACGTTTGTGAACGGTCATCCCATTGTCAAAGCTCAAGGGCAGAATGTGAGCAAACTCTAGATTTTCAGTTGCTTTTCTTTCAAATATTAACACAGCAACAGAGAACCAAGGAACTTGCACTGAAAGGGGATGGAACAAGGTCTAGAGAAAGTGTGTCACGAAAGTTCAGACTTCTTAAAAATAGGCTTATTGCAGATGATAGAAAATTTACTTAGACTCAAAGAATGACACTTTACGGAAACAGTCAACCTCAACAACACTTTTGTTTTTTTTCCAACTGAATAAGTTTGATCTGCAGAAGTCCATGACCGTGGTCTCTAGTGACCTATTAGTAAACTGGGATGTAGCCTTCATAGGACAGGCCTGTTAGCTCTCTCCCTTCCTCTTCTCTCTTATTGGAATATATGAAAGGTAGAATTATGTTCAAGGCCAAAAAAAGTGCCCCTTACTGGAAGGAAAAGTGTAAGTTCCCATTTTGTGAGGCATTACAAGACAAAGCAGACTTCTTTTGGACTCGGGAGGGTATGAGAAGGCAGTCACACTTCAGAGAAAGACAAGCTGCTGTGAAAGACCTTTCCTTTTTAGTTTGGGGAAAAGAGAAACTTCTGATGCGCTCACTGGAAAACAGACTGCATAACGGAGCAAGTCATGTGGATTGCCCAAAGCCTCCGGAGAAATAAGGGAGCAATTTCTATTCTGTAGTTGATGGCTGTCTGAAATTCTATTCACAAATCCAAACAGAAACAAAGCCTCAGGGGGTCAAAACTGTTTCCTGTACGTTTGCATAATGGGCAGCTTGAAGACAACGGCTCTGTTACCTGCTGATCAATTTAACTACTTCAACTGTTTTGTTTGTATTATGTTTATATTTGATGCAGTTTGCTGACAAGCACAAGCTAGGCCTGAGAAGCCAGTTTGTCACTTTGATTTATGAGCATATCAAACTGGAACTTTCTACTCGCCACTCCAAACCTACAGTAGCAGTTCATTAATCAGGGGCCTGTGACTTTGAAATCTGGGCTCAACCACTTTCTCCCTGGCTTCCCCTCCCCCCCACCCCAACTCCCAACCATGGGCTCAATTTGCATGCCTGTCCTCTGAGCTGCACCACTGAGAAAGATAAGGTTCCCTCACCAACTTCGGTTCTCGGGTGGATACGAGATAATCAGTACTCTGTCCACCACACAGCTTGCTCTTTGTACACTGTGATTCATTAGTGAACGGGAGACAACAGCAGCATTGGATCGTAACTCTCAAGTCCCACGCTGCAAAAAAAGTAGAGCAGTAGAGCTCTCCTGTTACTGTTATGAAGCTCAGTACAAATGTAGCATAATGCATCTTGGACAGCAAGGGCCTGGTGAGAGGAGGGTCTAACGCTGCCCTGGCCTCTGAGGGCCCCTCCCAGCCTCGCCCTCCTCTGCGTGGGTGAGCCGGCCAGATCCTACCTCTTTCGCTTGCTTTCCGGGATGCTGCTGCTGCTGCTGTTGTTGCTGCTGCTGTTGCTGCTGCTGCTGTTGCTGCTGCTGCTGCTGTTGCTGCTGCTGCTGTTGCTGCTGCTGCTGCTGTTGCTGCTGCTGCAAAAGCTGAAGATGTAACTGCTCTTGCTGTTTCTTGTAAAACTCTTGTAGTTGTTGCTGAATAAACCATTTTGACTTTAATAAATAAAGGCAAAAGTTGCATGTATTATAAACCTCCTAAACTCCTCTAGACTGGCACAGGGTCGAGTCTCCATTAAGATGCGTCTCACAAGAACAATGACAGATACGCATTGGATTCCAGGAGACAGATCTACACATACACTGTTTTTGCCAAGGCAGCTCTGAAACTTTCCAATCCAGACTCCAAAGTATCCTAAACGAAAGGGTATAGAAGATCTGTATTCGAAATGGCTAGAGCCAAATGAATACCCTCGATGGTTATATCTGCAGCGGTAATAGCACATAAAAATAGGGTCTACTCTACCATTTATAAGAACCAACTATAGAGTTACATAAAATTAGAGTGACCAGTTCTTACTGGGAAAAAAATTGTAATCCATCGGATGGACGGGAGAACGTCAGACTTAGAAATATAAGTAACTGGCCTGTGGTCATCATCACAGAACACAGCAAGTCAAATCTTTAAGAATTTAGGTAAAGCACATTATTTTCTGTATGAGAAGTAACTCTATAACATAAAGCCCACTTTATATAAACTCAAAGCTCTAATGATGTACATATTAGGAACATTAGTTTTGCTATTGAAAAAAGATTAACCTCATGAATTGGTGGCTCAGCTGTTCAACTTTGTTCTAGTTAGTAGCTACTTCTATTCCTAAAATCTGAATTTATTGTGGAAAGGAAAGTTTGGGACATTACTTTCCCTACTGTAACAAAATAGCCAGTTCCAATTTCATACTTATGTGAATTAAAAGGAGGGTTGAAGGGTTAGAAATTTCAAAAGCAACAATTATCTGTAAGTCTCTTTGCACTTTTGTTGGCAAGGCTCTAAATCCAAAGCACCTAAGTAGTTGAATATTTAAATATTGCTTTATCTCACGTTGAAATGGTACCTATTTCTTACTCTTACTCTAGACGTTAATGAATTTAAAAAGAATAAGGGATCTAAATTTTACTACTCGGTTCTGCAATTAACATGCTACATTTATGTTCTAGCATGCTGACAGGTTGTCCTTTCCAGTGGAGAAGGAATTGTCATATATGCCCATGGCACTGTCAACATGGGTGCTAGCACTCCAAAGCAGGTAATCCACATTACCTGCTGCAGCATGACTGCCTGCTGCTGCTGGAGAAGGGCTTGGAGCTGCTGAGGAGACAGGACTTGCTGCTGAAGGATCTGCTGCATTTGCTGAGGGGTGATCACCTGGGGAGTCATCATGGCCACCGACACAGGCACCTTGACAGAGACAGAAGGAGAAAGAGTGGACGTTACCAAACGTCTGTTAACCTACTTCATAGCTATATGGCATCCCTACCAAAATCTTTAGTAGTGATGACCAATCATTTTTATAGAATAATTGTTATATTATTTAACTATTTAATAATAATATTTTAGGTACCCCAGTATTTAGACACTGGCTTTCCAGAGGCATCAGATGTGATCAGATTCCACCTTTACATTCCACACCTCTTACGTATTATGCTAAGATGTGCTGCTTTGACTAGCATAATTAGAAATAAACAATTACATGTCAGTTTTCTCAATACTTCATAATTGATAATCTCATCAATGTCACAGTGCTACAAATGAAAGCCTTTTGAAATGATTTACAGGTATGATTAAGATAGATATGATAAAGATTAAATGACTGGAAAAATACACATTTAAATATCTGTTATCAAAGTTAGTAAAAAGAATGTATGTGCAGTGTACTTATTCATAAAATATAACCTGTCTTCAAAATTTAATATATATATATATATATATATATATATATAATATACACAGTACTAGAAAAATACACACAGTAATACATATTACTACATGAGTACTTGGAGTAACTCATATAGGATATTTATTTATTTACTTACATATCCCCAGAAAATAGCTACATAGATAGGTCCTCTCCAAGAAGGGATCATAAGCCTCGTATTCTAGCTTCTCCTTTAAACGTTTTCTTATTTCAAGCTAACTAAACGTATACTGGGAAGTGCAGAAATCTAAAGATTACTCAAAGGTTATTCATTACACTGAAAAATAAAGTATTTTGCTCAAAATGTCCTTTCTACCATTTTCTTCTCCTTCAAAGTTGTAAAAATTAAAGAGTCAAAAAGAAAAGGAAATAAGGAGGGAGAGAAAGAAGCAGAAGAGGAAGATGAAGCAAGGAAAATACAAAGTAAGGAAAAGCCAGGGGGAAAGTCTGAGAGAAAGAGAGAAAGGCTGTGGAGAGACAGGAAAAGGTTGGCAAGAGAGGCGAACAGGAAGTCCTCCTGCACGGAAGCCTGACGTATCTATCTGCTCGGTTGGGCGGCAGTCACACTCTTTGAAGGCACTGCTTGTACTAACCAGCAAGTAATCAACTTGTCAACTTGCCAAGTTTGCAACCTTTGAAAAAGTAATCATTTTCTTTCCTAGAGAAAACAATTCACATTTACTGTAAATAAAAGCAAGTATTTATATAAACACCACTTTTGAACAAATTCTTGGGACAACATGTGTCTTTGAAAACAGAAAAAGATTAACAGACATGGTTCACAATTTATCCTCAGAGGCATTTTTAATACAGTTCAAACTTTTCGAGTCTGGCACTTTATATCATAAACAAAGGAGAAATTAATAATGAAAACAAAGTTAGGGGCTTCTCTGGTGGCGCAGTGGTTAAGAATCTGCCTGCCAATGCAGGGGACACGGGTTCGAGCCCTAGTCCGGGAAGATCCCACATGCCACAGAGCAACTAAGCCTGTGCGCCACAACTACTGAGCCTGTGAGCCACAACTAATGAGCCTGCGTGCCACAACTACTGAAGCCCACGCACCTAGAGCGTGTGCTCTGCAGCAAGAGAAGCCACCACGATGAGAATCCCACACACCCCAATGAAGAGCAGCCCCCGCTCGCCGCAGCTAGAGAAAGCCTGCGTGCAGCAACGAAGACCCAATGCAGCCAAAAAAAATAAAGTTAGAAGAAAAAAATAAAGGAAGTTCAGGATGGATTAATTCCTCTCCCTCAAAAAAACCACTTCATATTTCATACTAAAGAAAGAGTATTTTCTATCCCTTACTCTCTGGAAATAAGGATTAATTAGATGTAATTTTGTAACATGAGGGGAAAATATCACAGAATAACAGAAAGGAATTCAAAAGTGCTTTTCAAAAATATTTCTGGATTTTTTTAGAACATACTTTCATACCTATAGATTACTGTACTTGAAAGCATCATAATAAAAGGCATTCTGAAATGTATGCTATAAAATTAATTGATCCAGTGGGTTGCCCATGTGTTTAGTTGTTTAAATATTTAATAGTCAGTTTACTTAATTGTTCTTTGATAAACAAAAAGAATGGTTAGAATAAGCAGTCTGGAAAAAAATTATCTATCTACAAAAATGCCTTTCCTTCCAGGAATAATTTACCTCATACTGTCTCCAAATAACAAGGAATGAAACTGAAATGAAGGAACAGAGAAAGACAAACAGGTTAAACTTTAAAAAGGCTGCCAATCCAGATAAATAGATGGGTAAGTGGGTAGCTAGATTATATATATGTAGATAGCTATACACATGAATATAGGTAGATACCTTCTATTAAGTCTATCATGTGATGAGAAACTTGTCACACCCCTCTCATCTAACAGCCCCTTACCACTTTTTAGCATATGGAGTATTTTCACTTAATTAACTCTATCTACAAGTAAAGGTACTTTATGTGTAACTGATAACAAAGGTACTTTATAAGAAAAGTAATATGAATGGATGGAGGCATGCAATTATTATTGTAAACTGCAAGTTTACAATCAGAATTCATCTTATACAAATTATATTACCCTATAGCTTGCTGCTAGCAAGACTGATCTGATGTACAAGCAAGTTTAAGCAAGTTTTCTACCTTTGCATTCTTTAGAGTTCATTAGCCCTTTCACCATGGTTAAATTAATTATGTTTTATCCTTGAAATGGTTTGTGAGTGTCTTCCTTACATTTAAAAGTTTATGACATAAAAATAACCATTATGTCATTGTCATCCTAAAATCGTATGTATCACACTTATGTGATATTCTGCAAATTTTAAGCAGATTCTGGCCTACCCTCTAGGAAACTGCCATCTAACACAAACAATATACAGACATGAGGATATGTAGAAAAAGGACTCAACTAATTGAACACTCTACTTCCATAAGATATGTACAAAACACAAACTGAAATCAATTATATATATAGGAAAGCACAAGTACACTTCTGAGGAATTTCTAACATTACAAATAAGCCAATACTATCACCTATACATCTACGTACATGAGCTCATCCAAAATGAAACATTTGAGGCTATTAAAAATTTTAAATATTTTATTAAATAGAAAATTAGTTTTTCCTACAACAAATGTCAATTACATGTTATATGTAGACTGCTCCACTGGCCTTGTTTAGAACATGCAGAATTTCTCCATTTTTAAGTGAATCATTTTAAGTGACACGTTTCCTTCATTCCTCCCTTATCACTTTTGTTACTGTCCCATTACCTTTCTTTGCTACTGCAAGCTACTTTAGGAATTCATTGACAAAGACGAATAGAGATTAACTGAGTACATAACTTATTTTTGAAGATTATACTACTTTATCAAAATGTAAACAGGCAAAACCAGCATCAGATTTGAAAGTCTGTGGATAACTTTCTAAAATATATATACCTTCACAAGTTAGGTGTTAAGCTTAAGGAAATATTTTCCTCTAAATATATACTTTTAATCATGCAAATATTCTAATGAGGGACCACAATTTAGATGTGTGATAGAGGAGGGGAGGGAGAACTTATCTTAGATGTTTTCTGGTGAGAGGGCAATTAAACATCTTGTTGGGTCTAAGAAAACATAATACATTATGCAGCTACCAAATGAAATCAAAAGGAATGGCTGGTTTAAAATGGGTGTTCCAGTGAAAACTGCAGTCTATCAATTAAACTCTTCAAGAGTGAAGAAAAGAAACGCAGTAAACTTTGGTTGGGAGATTTTTCTTTTTTTCTCTCTTGATATTTACTATCTTGACAGAACTAAAATTCCCCATAGTGATGCACAAAATAAGGCTTTCATTTACCCTTATTTATCTTCTCATTAGCTGAATTAAGCACCAACTTGATATGTAGCTCTGTGCACCAAGAAATATTGGGTAAACAGACATAAAGACAGGTTTGTATATTCTGAGATGAGAGAGGAAAAATTATGAAACTTGAAATGACTCAAAATGGCAAAAACCGAAAGCATTTAGATATTATCCTAAAATAGGTCGCTGATGACTTCAGATTTTTTAAGAAATAAATTATGCATTTACATTAGACTTCTAAGTGTACCTCGTTGAAAGGGTCAAAAAGTTATTAAGAGACAGTGCAAAGATCATGCCTCCCTTCAAATGAATCTCAAGTTAGTGTGAGACTTATGAAAATGGATCAAACTTTTAATTTGCTATAATAAGCAAATCGTCTTTCTAAAATCTAGTTCAGCTGGAGCATTTCTGAATGTGTTGGGTTTGCATATTAAGCATGTCACTTAATTAAACATCCCGGTTATGTGTGGGTGATCGGAAAGGTGCTTAGCATAGTGTTAGTCCAATTCTTACTTCACTAAGTGTGAATTGGTAAAAACAGCCACAACCTGTGGATGAGATTTACAGCGGAAAACACTATTTCCTCGTTAACATGGTCTGCCAGATACTGGTTCATAGATCCCTTTATTTTTCACTTAAAATTTGAAGATAAAAAGAAGTCCTGATCTCCAGGCCCTGGTACTTAAAAAAAAAAAAAAAAAAAAAAGCTCTATTAGGATTAACTACTTGTATAAAAATGCAAAATTGGTTTTCATATTATAGTATCTGCTCCTATTTTAACAGACTATTGATAGGAAATATGTGATTGTACATTCTTTGATAAATTTTTTTCTGTTCACTTCTTCCATCTCTATACTATCTATAGTTTATTTTAACATAAGAAACTATTGTATTGCATTGCCAGCCTTGGTCCAAATTCAAGCCCTGGTTACATGTATAATGTGTATCATAATAATAGCCTTTCAAAAGCTTCCTGGTTTTATGGTATCAAAAAGAACTGACAATGAATTGAGTGGTATTTGTAAGCTTTTCATCAAGTACTGAACAGGAGTATTTAAAGACATCTGGGATGGACAGTGCATATTGCTATTTAATGCAATCTTTTAGCAGCTGAGAAATAGTGTGACAGGAACAACAGAAAGCACGGC